TGTTGATGAAGCATGTCTGGGTGCAGCCAGGACAGAAGCCTAAGCACGGCTCCCTCACCCCAGAAATTTGCTGATCGGCATCCATCCACACAATTCCATTAATAATCTCTTTTTCCTTCAGCACCATCTCTAGTGTTTTTTTTCCAGCATCATGAAGGACTGAGCCTGCTGTGCTGGGGAAAGCCAGGCTCTGGGCTGGTTTACCTGGCTAGGGCAGAACACAGCTTTCTGTGGGGCCACATCTTGATTAAGTAGCTGAACAGTGTCTGGAAACTCCAGGCAGGTGGTAGAATGGACAAATGGGAATAGGAACAACCAACAACCTTTCTGAGCTGAGCCCACATTTTGAACCAGCTGGTCCTTCCCCTATGTGAAGCTGCAGCTGGGCTGGCATGGCCACTCCTGGCTGCTTGGCCCGAGGTTATGGATCCTCAAGGATAACTTGCACGAATAGTTGGTCCATACTGTGTTTTTTGAAAACAATCAGTTAAAAACGACACAACTATTTTAATAATTAAAATTTATTAATTAAAACCAGAGTTTTAAGATATTTGTCTCCCATTGAGAGAACGGGAAAGGAGGGAGCAGTGACATTGGGTGGGTGTGAGAGGGCTGTGCTGCCGGTGGTGCTAAATGTGCTGCTTGTGCTCATTTGCAGACACCAGCAGCAGCCCACTTACACTGGCCCAGATAAAGATTGTTTATTCTGACACAGGGATGTTCTGTGGAGCATCAGAGCTGTGTAAGCATCCCCAGTGCAGGGTTTTCTGCAGTGGAACCAACCTGTCTCTGACATGGGCACAGCAGGCAGCGAGGGCTTGGCTCTGAGCAGCACAGCCTGGGTTTAGTTTATCAGTGTAAGAGGCATGAAGATATGTTTACATAGGGTGATACCCAGCAGCAAGGCATCCTTGCTTATTTTATGATTCCATCAGCATGTTCTTGACTGATTATGAAGGGATTCCTTGCAGGTTAACAAGCTGAAAACATTTCTGTTATTAAAGAGAGCCAAATCAAACTTTATTGAACAAATACATCTTGGATCTCTGGCTAATGAGTTTTTCTGCTGTTCAAACATGTTATGTGATGTGAATGAAATTGCAGTTGAATTAGACTTAGCTGTTCATGTAGAATTCACAAGCTGCATTTTTTTCCTCACAGCTTTATTTTAGGCAGGTAAGTTATTTTTGGAGGACAGTGTTGCACAATTTGACCATGTAAAAATGATTATTGAAAATGGTATTTACTGGTCCCATTTTATGAAGAAATTGAATCAGAAGCATACTTTGACATGCAAAAGGGCTGATCCTTCCATGCTTCCCATCACTAACTCCTGAATAAAACACTTGTTTCGTGGTTTGGTTTGTAAAGCTGTGCCCTGTCAGGGGAGCACAGGGCAGAGCTGCTGCAAGCCCAGCCCCAGGACTGTCACCAGAGCTGAGTGGAGCCCACGTTTTGGTACCTGCAGTGACTCTACTGACTTTGATTTATTCCCAGCTAACTTGGTATGAATAGCATCAAAACCAGGGTCACATCTGTATTCATTAGTCATGCAGAACAGAGCTTCTAAATAATCCTCTGACTGACATGCAGATTTATATAATGAAAGATGGGGCAATTCCAGATTTCCCCAGCAAACTGGTGTTAAACAAACTGCTCTGAAGACCTAAAGCCTGTGATGGAAAAGGAACATTTAGACAGAGCCTGTATGTGAGCTATTTGTAGAATTATTGTTAGTCAAATCTATTATGATGCATTCCCTTATGTTCTGTTTTCACCTGTTAAAATAAATTGAGCTGTAGCATTACTAAAAACTAAGAACCGTGAAAATAAAAGAGGAAACTGACATTTAGAGAATTTTGGAGATTTCTTATACTGTAGAAGGAATTTGTAAAATTTAAACTGAAGCCACAAGGACAGATTTTCTTCACTGAGAACATCTAGTGTAATCCTCCTGTTCTTCTGGCACCCCCCAGGATAATCTACAGTTCATAACCTGTAGGAAAAATAGAGCCCAAGCGAGCAGATGACACTGATGCTGAACTCCATATCAGGAGATTTGCTGCCATCTTTTGGTAGATGTGTGTTCCAAAAATTAATGAAAAATTCTCTCTCACAGATACTAAACATTTTGTTCCTCTGCTCATTCTTAGCCCACCTGCAGCATCAGCCCCTGGAGGGATTTAAAACTGTGTAAATGTGGCATCTGGGGACATAGTTTAGTGGTGGACTTGACAGTGCTGGGTTAACAGTTGGACTTGATGATCTTCAAGGTGTTTTCCAATCTAAACAATTCTAGGATTCTGTGATTCTGGGCACTCAGCCTCTCCTGTAGGGGCAGCCTGTGAAAATTAATCTCAGCCCCCAAAACCCCTGTGGGTGCCTGTGGGGCTGGAAGGGCTCAATATGAGGCACGGGCTGGGCTGGTTTCTTCATGGTCTGGCTGCTCAGAAAAGCTGTAGGGAACAGGCTGCAATCTCTCTGCGAGTAATAAATACTTCTTTATGCCCAGAGGTAATAAAAGAATGTATTTGATAGTCTGGGGCAGCAGTAGGATGGTGCATGGGGGGAGGGAGCAGGGCTGGGAGTGAGTGCTCCACAAATCACACTCATGATATCAGATTTACCTTTGCAGAGGGCAAAGAGCTGAGGCTGCACTTTGGCAGGGGCAGGTCGAGGAGCTGCTGCACAGGGTGAAAGTGCACCCTTGTGACTGGGCCAAAGGGGTGTTGGGGAATATCCTGGGCCCCTGCTCCCCTCTGGGGTCCTGCCTCTGGCACAGCAGCTGCCTTGCTTCCCTTGCTCCTCTGACTGCTGAAGGAGGAGGGTTATGCACCCCAGCAGAAAGCTGCCCACTGGTTTTTGCTGGGCTATGCTTTTTCATGGGACAGTGAGTGAAAACCAGGGCAGGCTTTGACAGGCCCCAGGATGTAGGAAAAGAGGGAAGGTACCAGCTGCTGCCAGAGGGAGAACACAGAGGGTGTTGAGAGCTGACACTTCACCCCGACTGCAGCTCTGCACTCTGGTTACAACACCCACACTTTTAGTGGTGCCTGGATCAACAAAATTACTGTGGTCAGAAGAACTTTCCAAATTTGAAAGAGACCTCTTGTTTCTGTGGGTTCCTACCCTGGTGGCAGGCTGCACACTTTATTTTAATGTGGATTTGATATCCAGCACAGTTCCTTCAGCCTTTGCTGCCTCAGCTGCCTTTCTAAGGTCACTGTGTGGCTACACACAATCCTTTCCCCTCTACCACCCTGTCATGACAAGAAATTCCTCAGATCCCACTGAATTCCACAAGCCACTTCATTTATACACTTCAATTCAACATTAAGTTCCTTGCAGGGTTTATTTAGTTTGAACCCTGACCAAAGTTCCCTAGTGCTGTGTGTGTGCTCAGCTGCATGACTCCAACCTTGCTCCTGGGCTGTGCCAGGGCAGGCACCACTCACATGATGGGGTACAGCCCTGCCACGGCTGTGGGAGCAGTGCCCTTCAGAGAAATGCTGTTGGGAAAACAAAGGTATGAGCCAGGTAAGAGCACAAGCAGGGAAAGTTCCTCCTCTCACCATCCGTTGCCACTGTGCAAGGGAGGAAGAGCGGGAAAGAAATAATTAAAAAACCAAACCAAAATAAACCAACGTTCCTGTGAGTGGGATGTAAACTCTCAGCAATGATTCTTTTTTTGACACAGACATCCCCTGTGTGGTGGAAGCAGAAGGGTGACCAGCCAGACCACCAGCAGTTTCCTGGCTGGGATGATTCCCCTGTTTATCTTGTGGCTGATGCTCTGAGCGTCTCAAGGACCTCCAACAGTGCAGGACTGGGTTGATATCTCATCCTTAAAGTGGCCCAGCTCCACCTCTGTTCCCCTCTGATAGCAGAGCACTCCCTGCCTGAGTGTTTTGTAACCAGGCGAGTGTTGCTCTGGATCCAGTCCAGCTTCCCTGTAAGCTGTGAGGGCTGATTCGTGTGTCTGAGGGGGAGTTGGGAAAGCCATCAGCTCCCTAATTCGTGAGAGCCTCTCCCCGCCTGCAGCCAGTCCCCACGGGGGGAGTATTGCTGCCTCGCTGACCCCTGGCTCCTGACAGCTCTTTGGACACTCACAGATATCACACACAGCCTCACCTGCTCACAGATCCTCTTTCAAATCCTCCCTTCCTCCTTTCCCATCAGTCTTGCCTCAACCGGGATGTGGGGAATTGAAATTTTAAAAAGACGGAGGGTTAGAATTAAACTCTAAATTGAATTCTAGGCAATTCTAATTTAGCTAATTCAGACTAAATGGGGACTTTGATCGAATCAGTACAGTTTGGCTTGGAAGGGCCCTTTAAAAGTCACCTCGTCTCGTTTCCCGCAGAGAGCCGGGCATTCTGGTACCCAGGCGGCTGCAGGTGCCCCGGCTCGTACCGGGGCCGGCACCGGTGCATCCCGCGGATGCCGCAGCCGGGGCCCGCTGCGGTGCCTCGAGCGGGCGTGGCCGGGGCGCGGGGGGCGCCCGGCTCAGCCCCGCCGTGCCCGGGGAGCGGCTCCGCAGCGCCGCCCGGGCCGCCCCGCCCGCCGCGGCCGCCCCGCCCCGCCGGTCCCGCCCGCCGTCACGCACCGCCGCCGTCGCAGAGCCCGGGGAGGCACCGGGCAGGGGCAGCCGCCGCCGGAGGAGGCCGAGGCGGAGCGGAGCGCAGCTGCCGCCGCGGCGGGGGCAGGTAGGGCCGTCCCGGGCGGGTGCCGGGCCGCGCCGCGGGGCGATGCGAGGCGGGCGGCGGGAGCGGGCGCGGGGCATGCGTGGGAGCGGGGGCAGCCCGCAGCGCCCCGGGCGGGTTTGCCCACCCGCGGCCCGGCGGAACGGGGATAAAACCGTGTCCTTACGTAATGCCGGGCATTGCGACACGGGGGCCCGCTGGGGAGGCGCGGGCGGCCGGGGCATCGCGGCCGGCGGGACAGCGGGCGCGGCGGGGTCCCGGCGCCGCATCCCGGGATGCCGCCGGCCGCAGCGGAGGCCGAAGCTGGCACTGGCCCCGTGACGGGAGGAGAAAGGTCACTGGGCCACGGCGGCTCCTGCCGAGCGCTTCAGCATGCGGGATCGTTCTGCTCCTTCCCGGGAAGCAAAGGTCGAAGGTGGCTCTACCTGCCCGCGTTTAGCACCGTCTTGGCTCTGACATCCCTTTCACCTCGCTCCTCTGCGCCCCCGGCATCCTTCTTGCGGGTTGGCAAATTCATTCTGATATGTACCAAAGCCCCAAGCCCCAAGCCTCAAGCCAAGCAGGCAAACTGATTTCTTCTTCCATGTCATTTTGCTTATTCTGAGAATATAGGTTTGTACTTGTGGGGAATAATGTCAGTTTAAAAATCCCCATGTCTCTGCTTTCTGCTCCTGTACCAAGCACTGTAGGGCCACAGCAGCAGCTGCCTCGATTCTGCCTTGTCACAGCCCTTGCTGGGAACAACTCTTGCTGGAGGGAGGAAAAGTCTTTGACTCATTCAGTCTTTAGGTATTTGCAAAATAAAAAAAAAAAAAGGGTAACAGATTTTTCAGAAAATGGAGTGGAGCTGACTCATCATCAGTGACCAATGCAGGGTTGTGTCTCTGGGGAATATTTATAGTGATTCCAGCAGAAACAGATCCCAGCTTGTTTCTCAGATGACTTAGTGTGAATAGAGGTGTGTTGCAGATTGTTTTCTTGGGTACAGTGGATGGTTGAATAATCACCTTTCTCATGGCATTTCACTTATGAATTTTTGTAAGAAATTGGCTTTTGCACTATTGTAATGACATTCCAGAATAATACCTCCCCCTGGTACTCTCCATCAAAGATTTGCACTGATCCACCTTTTCTTCCTGCCCACATTTTGGGGTGTGTGTATGGGGGTGTGAAGGTGTGGGGGACATCACTGTTGGCTGCTGCAGCAGCAGGAGGATGTCCCCAGCCCTGGCACTGTTAGGCTGGAGGCAGAATGCACAGCTCAGGCCTTCCTGGGCTTGGCATCTGCTGCAGGTAGGGAAAAACACATCCACTGGTGCAGCAGATGCTCCTTTCCTGCGTGAGCTGTCACATGGTGCTGGAGGACAAAATTCCATTTTAATTACTCATCCCCGTTGATGTGGTGCTGGGTGTTCCGGAGTGGGCTGGCAGCGAGGGACATGTCCCTTCCTGAGCGCGCTGCCGGGCGTGCGCTGGCCTGGGCCCTGCCATGCTGGTGGCACGGGGTGGGACAGCAGCACTGCTCTTTCCTCCTCTGCAGGTACTTAGCAGAAACAGGTTAATTTACCATGTGGGGATGCGGTTCCGTGTTCTTCCCTTGCAGTTTAGTAACTACAGTGGCTACAGCAAGCTGTGACTTCCCCCCAAGTTAATTTAATCGATTCTTATATGTGATAGTTTAATAAGGGGCTGCCATACAACACTGCAGTTCCTAATGTGTACCTATACAATTAAGAGCAGGCTGTCTCTTTCTTTAATTCCATAATTAGTATAGCCTAAATAATAATATTTACATTTGCTTTTAAGGGGTTTATTTCCTTTATGCTCCTCTGTTTATTGGGCTACAGAGTTACTGCATAAACACTTCTGCTCCATCATGCGTGCAGTTCCAGAGCAAAGCTCCAGCAGGAGGGCTGGGATCCTGCGAGTGACACAGGGACGCTGCATGGCTTTATAATGTCTGCAACAAAAGAAATTGTGGACTCCCCATCTTAAATTTTGAGTCATAATGGTGCATGGATTATATGATGTTGGCACAGTAGCAAGTTGGGACAAAAAGTGTTGTTAAGTATTGTGTCTAATAATGCCGAGTATTTGCAAACCACGTGCTTTTACTGGCTTCTCAAAAGCCTCGTGAATGTGCCTAACTTGATGTTTGACCTCTGTGTGACTGTGCATGTATTTAGGGGTAAGTGTGCTCTTAAATCTCTGCACAATGAGGCTGCTGAACCTGATCTGAAGCAGACTGTGGGCATGGCTTGAAGGAATTTGGGATCTGGACCATAAAACCCAATGTGTGGAGCCAGCACTGAGCTCCCCTGGGATGTTGTAGAGGGACGCTGGTGCCAAGTGGAGCTGGTGCCTCCAGGCAGCCATGGGATGTGGAGGGAGCTGGCCCTGCTCTGTCTGAGAGCAAAGCCCCATCCTCTGTGGGGTATTGACACAACAGACATTGGCTGGGAAATGACACTGCCCAGGCTGGGGGTCCAGAAAGGCACCTAAAAGCTGCTTCATTCCAAGGAATACTTTTTCCTTTAATGAAGGAGATAAATGAAAAATAAATCAGTATTCTTTTTAACCTTGCGGCAAAAGAGCCTCCTGTGGGTTTTTCCCCATGCAGACAGACTGTACCTGGTCACATAACCCAAATGCTGTCTGTCCCTCCCAGCTGTTCCTAGCAGCTGTAATGTGTCCACCCAGCAAAGTAGCACCTTTTGTTACTTGCAAAAGTAGCAAGTACTGTGCTACTTTCATGCTTTTGGAGACAGGGAGCTGCAATGTTCAGAACTATGGGTACCATCAAGAAATGGTACATGAGTTCAGATTTATTTGGAATAAAATGTGGCTACATAAGGATAAATCCAACATTTTTACTTTCTTAGCCTTCAATCTGGTAGACTTCCATTGTCTTAATGGGAATGGACTTGATTCTTATCTTAAATTTTTAGATCATTCCTTTCCCCATGTAAATATCATAAACCTGATAAATATGTGCAGGGAAACTTTAACCTAGGCATATATGACAGTTATCAAGCAGAGATGAGTTTTTCTTTGGTTGCAGCCAATCCTTGTATTTGCCAGGGCACCTTGTGGGTTTGTTACTTTTTGGACTGAATTTGATTTAATTGCTCAGAAGTGTATCATAGAGTAAAAACTTTGCCATCTGTGACACTGGAAGATACTCAAATTTGGCCTGCTGTAATGAAATCTTTACTGGGGCTGCCTCTTGGGTCCTGCAGCTCCAAAGGGAGCTCCTGTTTTCTCCCTCTGGCAGTTCTAAATCAGGCACTCCTGGAGGTATGCTCACAGCAGCACTTGGAGCTTACTCCTCAGTTCAGGTTTTCTTCAGTCATCACATGTGCTATGGTGTTTCTTCCTCAAGAAAACCAAAATATTTTTCCCCTCAGAACACGTTACAGATATTCTGCTTGGCCCGCTCTGTTGAGGTCCGCAGTCACGCTGAGCTATTTGCACAGTTGGACAAGGATAAAAGCAGTGAATTCATTTCAGTCCAGACCTAATCTGAGTTAATGTGCAGGGATCCCACTGGTGAAAAGCAAGGGCACTTGGCCACGGCCATTCCTTGATCCTTTAAGAGTTTGAATCCCTGCTAAGCACGCTTGTCTTACAACCTGTACTCGCACAGGATGTAATCAGGTTTGTTTTCCATCTGTTAAACAAGAGCCTTCTTATTAGCCAGTGCAAACAGAAATTTTTGTTTTGCTCTTGCTGTCAATGGCAAGGTTAGCCACCAAGTACACGGCTCCTAGCATTTTCCACACTCAGCAATTTTAAACACCTTGCTCTGTGTGTGTTATATGATTTACCTTACAACCAGCAGGGATTTGGCTTTCAGTATTGTCCCCTAATTATAGTAATTGTCTAAGTGGAGCTCTCATGTCTCCCACTGTTCTGGGCCCAGACTGCAGCAGTGGAGCAGCCTGGCACAGCTCATGCACCTGATGAGCCTGGCCACAGCCAGAGGGATACACAGGCATCAGGGAACAAAACTTGGCTCCATGGGTGTGGAGAAGGGAAAAAAAATGGTTATGACTGAGAAAATCCAGCCCAAAAGCATACAGCATTCATTTATGAAAAAAATATTTTGATTTTATGAAGTGACTCAAAGGGACTGTTGATAAAATAGGTCTGATAGATTCCGAGATGCAGCTGGCAGAGCAGTGCATTATCTTTCAAAGCAATGCTTATTTGATTTTTGAAGTGTAGAGATTTGTAATATTTTTAATTTTTGATGATGCTAAATGGCAATATCTATCAGAGGGTTCTCATGGGGCTGGGCTGCTCTGGCAAGGCAGAAGCATTTGCTGTACATAGACAGCTCTTAGTGACCCCTGCCAAACCTCTCCTGAGTGCTGCCTGACTTTGGGGGCTGATTTCCAAGCAGGGTATTGTATCTGCTTCTAGTGACTTCAATGAGGAGCAGAGGAATTACTTACACAAATATGGTAATACTTTCTTAAGGGGTTGTTCTGCTTATGTTTTTGGGGTTTTTTTTCCTTTTTCTTCCCCCTTTTTAAGGCTAATTTTGTGTAGAAAAATTAAATTCCTGCTTTTATGTTTTCACAAAACAAACCCAAGCAGAGAAATTTAGGTGGATTATAAACAGCTAAAAGTACTTTGGAATATGAATTTAAAAAAAACCCCAAAAACTCTTTAGCTGGTTGTGTATTTGAGGATGCATTTTAATACTGGATATAGCTGGGAAGAAATGACATGCACCCAAGTAGTCTGCAACTGAAGCTACATCATAGTATGTGCCCTTGTATCCTACTTTATGTTCTGAAAAGACTGTTTGCTTTTATTCAGCCACCAGATCTGTTTTGTTCCCTCTAGGATAGGGATTCTTCCTTTATGCAATAGCAATATCCTGCTTTAACAGGCACCAGCTTGTTGTCTGGAGTGCTTGAGGCGCTGAGTGACTGCAGAAAGTCCCTATCTGATCTCCATGGGGTGGTGAGCTTGCCTGAGAGCTGCATCCCAGGCTGCAGCCAGAGAGATATTAAGGCACCCTCGTGTTTGGACCTAGTGGGTTTGTGTGGGATTTAAAGGAGTTGTTTTCTGCTAACATTGAATGCTCTGGAGTAACAATGTGAGGCAGTTTTTTAAGCATTTGCATGCATATGTAGGAAACTGCTTATTACTTTTGAATAGCCAAAAAGTTAGTGAATATGGAATTTTAGTGCAACATCTGGTATCAAGAGGATAAGCTTTATAAGTACAATTTATCCCCTTTGCTGTGTAGAATTTGGAAATCTTGTCTACAAAGACAGAAGATGTGCACCATTTCACATAGCTTGACTTTGTCTCTCGTAAAGAAATTACTTTATTTGAATAAGGGAGTAGAAATTATTGTACATGGATAAAAAAGGAGATTTGCTTGGTTTGTTCCTCTCAGAATCCTATTTTCTCCTCTGTATATGGTGAGACAATTTTCCCAGTGGCAGAGAAAATGGGATGCATTTATGTCTTTTGCAGGAGGCCCCTGAACTAAGAATGTCAGGGCCTGCTGAAGATGGGAAGGTGAGGACCTCCATGGCAGTGTGGGCATCCCTAAGAAACAAAACACGGTGGAGGAAGCTCCCCCTGCAGTGTCCCCAGCCCTGGGCTGTGCCTTTGCAGGGAGCTCCAGTCTGCATTTTGCTGCTGAAGCAGGGTTGTGGCTGCCCTCCCGATGGCCTGGCCTCACAGGGTAGCCTCCCTGCAGGCTGAATTTTTCTCAGCAAGGTCATTTTTTCTCAGGTGCACAGAAAAACACCGAAAGGTCAAAGTCTAGGGAGAGACATTAACCCATTAATAGTGATAGTAAAGTCAAAGAAAACTGAAGCATAAGAATGTCTACTTATTGATTTTGCTGACATAAATGTTATCCATTTGCTGTTCCGAATTAGGGGAAGAGAAATGTTCTGATGGTGGATGCTTGTTCTGGTTACATTTCCTTAGTGAATGAGTTGGGATCCAAATGATTTACATCAGAATGCAGAGATCCATTGCAAGAAACAGGAGAAACATTTCTGAGAAATAGGTTGAAAAAAACAGAAGTTCATTCATGAGTTACTCTGATAAGAAGACAACAGTTAACTCTTTGGAAAGGCATAGACAGTTCCTTTTCATTAGCTCTGCAGCCTGTTTCACATCCTTTGTGGCAAGTACATGGTTATTGCTGCTGCTGGCTCCCGAGCAAAATGAAATCCCACTGTTTGCAATAGCTGCTTTCTTCAGGCTGTATTTAAGTGGTGGGTGTGGGATACAAAATGAAAGAGGCTGAAATGAGCTTAAGTTTCTTGTTGCTTAAATGAATTAAGTAAATTTATGAACACTGTAGTTTCCTTTTTTTTATTTCTTAAATTTTCCTTTCCAGAAAATGGCTGTTCCACCTGCATATGCTGACCTGGGCAAATCTGCCAGAGATATTTTCACCAAGGGATATGGTAAATAAAGCCAAAATAAGTTTGGGCATTTGCTGTCTACCTGACTCCTGAAACTGTTAGGATTTTATTACTTTCCCCTGAGAAATACTCCAATTATTTGCATTAGAATCCACAGAATCACAGCTTCACATTGCCCTTGCTGTTTGGAAAGGGAGGGTAACTTAATTCTCTTTTGATAAAATTCTTCCTGTTCCCCATAGAACTGTTGTTGGTTTTGTGAGAAAATTGTGTGCTGTATTTTGGCTGTGCCCTTGTATTGATGAACAGGATCACTGATGGCAATAGTTTGCTTATGAACAGAATGCTGCTCACTGGGAATAAAAGTATTATTACCTAATTTGGTCCCAATTATATTGCTGAGGTCAATAGGATTCATCAGTCAAGTGCCATCTGAAGTGGGTACAAGCTGCTTCTTAGAAACACATGGGTTGATAACTGTGCCCTTGGTTTAACTATTTAATAGTTCACAGGTGATTTAGAAGAGAGTTTTAAGAAATAAATCAAAAATGCTTTTCAAATCAACATATATATGATTCATATTTTTTACTCACTCTCTAGGTTTTGGGTTAATAAAGCTTGATTTGAAAACAAGATCTGAAAATGGACTGGTGAGTTTGAAATGCAAAACATTGCAGTGGTTTTGTGATTACTGTATATTTCTTTTAAAAATAAATATATTCGTATTTATATGAACTAATATTTAACAAATTATAATGGCTGATATGTTCTACAAGTATTAGCATTTGCTTGATTGTATATATGTATATATTGACAAATACATATATGTATAAATTATTTTTTTCTTTTAGGAATTTACAAGCTCAGGTTCAGCAAACTCAGAAACAAACAAAGTCAGTGGTAGTTTGGAAACAAAATATAGATGGGTGGAATATGGATTGATGTTCACAGAAAAGTGGAACACTGACAACACACTAGGCACTGAGATTACTCTTGAAGATCAGGTAATTTTTGGCTCCAGTAAAGCAATTTACAAATTCACATACGCCAATGTCTAATTAGAAATCCAATCACTGAATTTCTTATCTGTTCAGCTTGCACGGGGCCTGAAGCTGACCTTTGACTCCACCTTCTCTCCTAACACTGGGTAAGAAATGAGTAAGCTAAAGTGACAAAAAGGCATTTTTAACTTTTTTTCCTGAGATATCAAGAGAGGTAATAATCAGACAGTGTATGATGAAATCATGTCCACGTCATTTACACCTTAGTGCTAATAATCCCTTTATAATCCTTAACTATAGCAAGCAAACTTAAACACAATAACTTGAAAATTATAGTTAGAATTAGAGAGTGAAGAAAAAGTGGTGGTTTTGCTCCATTGTGTATTTTTGGCCATGTCAGAGGATGAGCTGCTGCCTTAATAAAAGCACCAAACAAGTCAGCTGTAATGCAAAGCTTAACGAGCTCCAGGGGCCAGTTGGCCACAGCTCTGATAGGTTGACACAGAACTGGGCTCTTGTCCCGAGCTGAATTTATCATCTGAATTCTTGCAGGCCACAGTGTGCCTGGGTGGTGGATGGGTATTCCTGACATGGTGATTGGATGCCTTGTTTTATGTGGGCCAGAGGGATTAAGCAGCAGCTGTAGTTCTAGATGTTAGTTTATTTTTTTCCCCTGATTATCTGTGCAAGCAGTGCTGCCAGTGAGTCAAAATACTCTGCACATCAGCTTCCCAGAGCAGCAGACTGCACTGCAGGCTCTCAGGGTAATAGTCCCAGGGGAGCTTTCACCCTGTCTTTTAGATTTAGTGTTCTGCATTGTCAGCTGCTTTCAGTCCACTCCTAATTCTAGATTAACAAGATATTTTTGTTAATCAGAAAAATATCAAGTAGATTTTTATAATTATTTCTTAACTAGTAGGATTCTTAGAGAAATTAAAAGGAAAAACCTTGTTCAAGGATGATGTTACAGGTCTAGAACTATTTCTTGGGCACCTCACAGAGACTGTAGTTATGATTGCCTCGAGAGGACTGTTAAATGGAGTGAAATTCAATACTGGTGTGACCTGGCTTAGTTTGACAGTGATGCACCATGTCTGAATATGAGACTTCTTCTCCTCTCCTTATTACTTACTGACTATGACAAATCTTTCAGCAGGTAAAGTCATTTTTTGGAGCACTCTGTGTTCTTACCTCTGTCCCTATGACATTGGTGGAAGAGGTACTGCTGGCTTTTACAGAAGTTGCAGATGAGTGCTTTTGGCACTCCTGTACTTTATTTCTGATTCTGCAAAACACAAGAAATTTCTGTGTCTGAGCTAATAATAATAATAAAAAGAGATCAGTCTCTGTGTGAGATCGGTCTCAGCTCTGATACAGCACTGATACTGTTCTTGGAGGTTGTTTTTGTTAGCTGACGTGAAAGGTTGATTTGAAATTTCAAATTAGTCTGACTTTTCCAGAAAGATTTCAATAAAGATTTGGTCAAAGACAAAAGACACTTGTAAAAAGAGAAAAAAGCATCTTAAATTAAGAGTAGCTGAATATATTAGACATAACTCTCTTGCCTTGTGAAAGTCTGCACCCTTGATGTAAATCAACCTAAGAACACATGAGAAAATACTGTTCTGGCCAATAGTATAAAAATAAACAAATGACTCGGGGAAGTTTATTTCTGCCTCAACCTGGCAGCTTTCTGGTGGCTGTATATGGCTGTAACTATTAAAGTCCACGAAGTACCATAAGGAGAAATGGGGATGTCAGAGCCACTGAAGCAGCCTGCTTGCTTCACAGCAGAGATTTTCACAAAGTAGTGATTTCCTAATGTCTGTCACAGTGAATAAAATTACCCAATTCACTAGGATTGTCTAAAAATTGTTTGCCTGGGACAGGCAAAAGATTTTTGCTTAGGACAGCCAAGCAAATCCACCACTGTGGACTTCTAGTGGCAAATCTGTAAACTTCTATAGTTTCCATTCCTTCCCTGTATGTACCAAACCTCCAAAACCATTGTATCAGTTGGAGATGAGGATATGGTTTTGTTAATTCCCATCTGTGTGTGGCTGCTTTTCAGAAGACAGTCCAGAAGTGCTTTGTGGGGCACCACACCACATTTTATAGCTCATTTGCAAAGAATTCACTGTAGCTGACTTAGGGTTTTGTAAAGGTGAACACTGAGAAGGTGACATATCATGTGGCTCTCTAGGGAGGTACATGTTGTCTTCAGGAACTATTACACTGAGTTAAACTAAGTGATGATATGATGGAATTGCTACCTACAGGTGTACCTTTGCAAAGATATGATATCTGTCTTTTCTCTTTAGGAAAAAGAGTGCTAAAATTAAGTCGGGGTACAAAAGGGAGCACATCAACATTGGCTGTGACATGGATTTTGATATTGCGGGTCCTTCAATACGTGGAGCTCTCGTGCTTGGCTACGAGGGGTGGCTGGCAGGCTACCAAATGACTTTTGAGACAGCAAAGTCTAGAGTAACCCAGAGCAACTTCGCTGTTGGCTATAAGACTGATGAATTCCAGCTTCATACTAATGTGTAAGTATTGGCAGACAGGTACTAAAAAGGAATTTGGAAGGATTTTGCTGCTTACTAAACAATGAAAGGGTCAGAGGTTCAGCAATGGTGAACAAGGGAATGGTGAATTGGAAATTAATTCTTCATTAAAGATGTCAAGCTGTATTTTTTCAGCTGCATTACCTTTTCTTTGAGTTGTGTGGGTGAGGGAGTGCATAATGGAAAGAACTGGAACTCACTGAGCACCCAAGGGTCCAGTGTCTGTCTAACAGATAAGGACTGTTAGAATCCGTTAGTGATACAATAAAAAAAGTGAGTTATAAAAATACTCTTTGTGAAAGCTGAAATAAAAGCAATGCTTCCTTTTACACCTGTCAACATCAGGCAAAATGGTGGTTTGATGTGTAGATGAAAGAGTTAATCAGAGGATGAACAAGAACAGGCAAAAGGGAGTGACTGGAAGAGACAGGGACTGGATTACTTTTATTACTGGAAGGGATATGGTGTAAAAGTTTATTTGGTACTGCAACTTCTAATAATATATTTACACAAGTATTTGTCCTATCTGAATGTATCAACAGTGGGAAGCCAGGATCCAATTCCATTAAAACTTAAATTTCTCTGTCTCCTGTTCCTCTTAAAAAGGCAATTTATGCCTTTGCTTTGGGGAGACAGTTTTTTAAGATGAGGCAATCCCTAATCCATTCTCCTGGCCCCCCCTTTCCGTGCCCTTGGGTAATTGGATATTTTGCATGTAGCAGAGCTATTCCAGGCTGTTTCCATCTGGGGGCTGAACAACTGTTCTGCCTTCCTAGAGCTACTCCTTCAAAGGCCTTCTGTTCCGTTTCACGCTGCTTTGCAGCGAGCTGGTTTAGGAAGCTCCCGCTGCCTTACAGAACAATCGAACCCCCACAGCCCAGACAGTATGTTTGAAGGATTGCCAAAGCACAAAACTGTGGGCAGAAAACTTCCATCAAAACAATATGTGGGTCCCCTTCCACTCTGGAGTTAGAAGTTACTCCTTCAAGTGCAATGACTTTCAGCTTAGTTGTGTTGTAGCAGTCCAAAACGTATTATTGGCCTTTGCTAAAAAATGCTGTGGTTATTATTACTGTTAATTAAAGCAACAGCAGAAACTCATAGCAGCAGTGGGGGCTCCGATCTGTTTCTTGTATTCCTGAGGGTCTGCTTCTCAGGTTGCTGTTATTGTACAAAACTAGAGATCTATGATATAAATCGGAATCTTATTTATTTTTAATAGTAGATTAGTTAGGTGGTTGATGTATTTCAGCTTTGAAAACGTGTCAGAGCTTTTGAATAATCCCAGAAAGAGTTGTGTATGGAACTTCCCTCACTAGGCTGCTTGGTTTTTACATCTACACAGGTCAGTGTTTCACTGGGATGCTGTGGCAGAGCAGATAATGTAACTAGGTGGGGCATGAAGCACGTTTTTTTTGTTCCACAAACCAGCTGGGGACTGTAGAAAGTTACTTGCCTTCAGGGTGCCTTAATATATTAAATTTCATAGGGGGCTAGTGTTATTTTTTTTACTATAACTACATTAAAAGTGCTATTATTTGCATAAAAAAGTGCTATTATTACTATTAGAGTTAAAAAAGAAGTTGACATTATTATTATTCTTTAATAATAAAAACAAGGGAGGTAGGGATGGATAATTTCTAGTTTTAAGTATGACTTTCCTGATTTTTTAAGCATAGCTCAGACCGCCCCCCCCACTAATGTTGCAGGTCAAGACAGAGCTGTGTGGGAACCTTGCAGAAAATCTGCCTGTATAACCAGCTCTCCTCAGTCCTTTTTAATCCCTCCTTTTCTTGAGAGCCAAGCACATGCAGTTAATGTGAGCTTCAGTCTTATCTGAAGTAAGTATTGTAGTGTTTTTCTGGAAGAATTGCTCTAACAATTTAAGAGGCTGTTGCTATTGCTTGAACTTCTAAATAGGCATATCACTGCTGTTGTGCAACTGTTATGAACTAAAGAATATCAGACCAAAGGGGTAAAAGAGAAAAGATCCTAAATGTACCCCCTTTGAAATCACCAAAGGTCTGGTGTACTCTAATAATTGGAACCAGATTATTTCACAGTTCAGAAGAATCCCAGATCTTCCTGGGGTTTAAAGCCTGTTTTCTACAATATGTTTGTATCTTCTCTTTAAGAAGATAAGCAAAAGTGGAAATTCAGATGCTCACTGGTTTATGAGGAGTGCAAAGCCTTTAGAAGTCTTTGGGTCTTGTTTTTATGATCTGCATGCTCTAACATTTTGCCTTTTATTTACCACACTTTATTCCTCTTTGACAATGGGGCAGTAGTAATTGGAATTTGTGCTACTCACCATTCAGCTGTGGGCCAGTGCTCTCTGCAAAGCAAAATTAGTTCCATTTCTGTTTCTAGTCCATAGACTTTAGCACAGATGTACCATAAGGACTGTTGCAAATGGAACTCATTTGCAAAAGCCTATAGACTTGCACATTAAATTAGCATTTTCACTTGTGATACAGTTCCTCTGTGTCTGGTAAAAGCATGCTGACATGGCAGTTTTGGGATGACTCAGGCTCTGTGACTGGGGTACAGCCCTCTCAGGGCACAAGGAAACATTTGCCAGGAAAAATAATTATTTCAGAATCACACAGGGAAAAATAAATCCTCTACTACAAAGATTTCCATCTACAGGAAAGGGAAAATTAGAAGCTGTCATTGTTGGTCTAATTTTTGATAGTTTGTCATGGGTTTTTTTTCAGTTTCAGAAGTGGATATATAATAATCTGCAATGAATTGAAGCGTCTAAAAATAGCTGCATAACCAATCTGGCCTAATGTCTCTATCTTAGTTGTTATAGGGATATTTAATGAGGTGTAAATGGATGTTGTGCAAATGCAGCTCTTACTGGAAAAATAAAAGATGATTGTTTTGGGTGCTGTTTAAAACGACACTGATGCATTCCTTCCAGGAATGACGGAACAGAGTTTGGCGGCTCCATTTACCAGAAGGTGAATGATCAACTGGAAACTGCTGTGAATCTGGCCTGGACAGCTGGAAATAGCAACACTCGCTTTGGAATAGCAGCCAAGTATCAGATTGACCCAGATGCCTCTTTTTCTGTGAGTCCTGTGCATGTACATTTGTATGCTTTTGAAAATAAGTGCTTGTAATGGAAAAGGAAAGCAGCCTTTCCATCAGCAGTCTGGATGCAGCTCTGTGCTGTGTAGTTGGATCTGTTCTGGTTTTGGCAGCCTGAGAACACAGCTATTGGATTTTCCTTAAAGGAGACACAGAATGTTTTATTGTATCACTAGGCACTATTTTGAGGCTGGTTTTGTGTCAGTCTGGAAAAAATTAAAAATAATGTTAATAAACCCATTCTTTTCTACAGTGACTGTAGATTCTTTCAGATTTTGGATTTAAGTTGTAGAAAAATTAACTCTAGATTTATCTGGGATTTAAAACTTGAAATCCCTATATGCTTAAAAGCTGATGCATAATTCTCAGGTATGGAGAACTTTGAAGAAAGATTCTAAATTATTTACTATTTATTACTAAATAATGCTTTTTTGTTTCCCTTTAAGGCTAAAGTGAACAACTCCAGTCTGATTGGGTTAGGATACACTCAGACTTTAAAGCCAGGTAAGTCTATGCAGAAAAAAGTCTGAATCAATAAAGTGATACTTTAATCTTGAAATATCAGAAGTTTTTTGGTGATAAAGTAAGATGGGTTTTATAAGATTGCTCTTCATGCTTGGCAAGCCAGTGATGAACTTTTCTAGGGACTGTTCTGTTAATTTTGGATATCTATTGAAAGCAGAATTATTAGAGACCATTGTCCACTCACCAGTCAAATAGTCTTTCATGTTGATATAAAATATGTGTATAATTTTTGTGTCACAGATCAGTAACTAGATTTTTAATATTTCAGAGGCTTCCTATTAGAGTTTATTCTTCTTAAAAATGTGACTTTCTCAAGGTCCCCTGGCCCAGGAAGAGGGCAATCTTTCTGCTGCAAAATTGGTTTTAATGTAGTGTAATAAATCTGCTGCCAGAATACTGAGCAGATTGACATGAGATATTACAGCAGATGGGGCTTGGGCTTTTTCATACCCAGATTTTAAAGTGGTTTGGAAAGGTGAGTATGTATCAAGGTCCCAGGTTTTTGTAATTCTGGACTCTAAAATTAGATTAATCAGTAGACCAGCAGCAGTGAATTGGCTCAGAGCTTTAATTACTCGAAGTGATAAAAAGCAGAATCTATCATCATAGTTTATTATAAATTTCATAATTCAGAAAGATTTCTTATCTGTAAATGGTTTTAAAATGCCCAGTCCTTCCAAGGCCAGCTGCCAAATCCCATTAACTTGGCTACCCAATAAATTAAAGCAGTAACAGACGTGGCACTTTCTGAATATAAAGCTCATTCCAAGTTTTAAGTTGACTTTTCTCTCCCTTTTCTCTTTTGCAGGTATCAAACTGACGTTGTCAGCTTTGTTGGATGGCAAGAATATCAATGCAGGGGGTCACAAACTTGGTCTAGGATTGGAATTTCAAGCATAAGGAGTGATTTCATAATTGCTAATCTGAAAATACAGCATAGCTACCTTCAGAAAATAGTGTACCTTTCAATGTTTTGTCTGGGGTGCAAGTGTTGCTACGTATCTGTCCTGCTAGTCCTGGTTTAAAGACAGCTAAGCTTTAAAAATGATATTAAAGAAGTGGAGACAAAATCATGAATAAAAAATCCTAGCTTTTTTTCTTTATGTAATCGCTCATCACATCTGTCAGCTGCCATGTGATAAGAAGAAGGAAGGTGTTGATTACCTCTACTAATATATTGATGGCACAAGGAATGTGATAATGTGTTACAAACCTGGGAATTGCAGACCACTCTATTGTACTGTTCATTGTGTAAGCAAAATGTTCTGACACCTAAGGTTTCAGTCAATGAGGGAATGTGCAAAATTGTCTGAAAAAGGGATTTTAAAATTTATTTTTTTAGATATGTGTTTCATCCATGGTTTGTCTTACTTGGTTATCCCCCACCTACTGCTGTCTCCAGAATGCTTTAGGTTTGTCTACCTTGTCCAAGTCCTTGTGGAGGAGGTTTGATGTGGCTCAGCCAATACTGCCTGTCCTGTGTTGTGGTTCCTTCCCCTTGCACTGATGAAAAAGCTTGTTAAATGGACATAATCAGGGAAGAGTCTTTGCAACTGCAATCACATAGTTGCATCACTAATTCTAAAACGGAATTTTCTTTTATTACCACTTTTTTTTAGCAACTAAATGGGTACATTTTTAGAGAGTCTTCCATTTTGTGTGGAACTAGACCCCAAAATGCTGTACTTGACACTACTAAAAATGGATAAAAAACCCAAACCTGACTTGAATAAAATATTGAAATGTCATCTTTTACTCTGTGTTTGTATTAATTGTGAAAACAATTTCATCTACATTTGTGGCTCCAGCAGAAGACTGGTAACATCTTGGTGCATGTTTTGTATCACACAAACCAAAAATATTTAGTAGAATTAAATTCCAGATGTGGCACTGTTCTTAGCACTGTCTAAGCTCTGACAACTGCACATTACACATGTGTTTATCTCATGGGTAAAACAAGATAACGTGACTTATTTGTCCTTTATTACAGAATTCAGTAAGTGAATTACCTCCCTATAAACAAGTACATGTGGGCAATGAACAGCTTGCATCAACTTCAGTGGCTGTTGATTAGTATTTGTATTTCTCACGAGGAGGCCATGGCCGTGGGTGGCTGCAGATGGCAAGAGCTGCGGTGCAGGATGTGCCCGATGAGGCAATGCCATTGCGACAGCGTGACACTGCAGAGCCACCACCTCAGGGACTGCCCGCAGCTTGGGCAAGGCTGGCTTCCCCTCAGGGACACTGCAGAGCCACCAGGGCAAGGCTGGCCTCCCCTCACCGGGACACTGCAGAGCCACCACCTCAGGGACTGCCCGCAGCTTGGGCAAGGCTGGCCTCCCCTCAGGGACACTGCAGAGCCACCACCTCAGGGACAGCCCGCAGCTTGGGCAAGGCTGGCTTCCCCTCACCGGGACACTGCAGAGCCACCAGGGCAAGGCTGGCTTCCCCTCACCGGGACACTGCAGAGCCACCAGGGCAAGGCTGGCTTCCCCTCACCGGGACACTGCAGAGCCACCAGGGCAAGGCTGGCTTCCCCTCATCGGGACACTGCAGAGCCACCACCTCAGGGACAGCCCGCAGCTTGGGCAAGGCTGGCTTCCCCTCACCGGGACACTGCAGAGCCACCACCTCAGGGACTGCCCGCAGCTTGGGCAAGGCTGGCCTCCCCTCAGCGGGACACTGCAGAGCCACCAGGGCAAGGCTGGCTTCCCCCTCAGGGACACTGCAGAGCCACCAGGGCAAGGTTGGCCTCCCCCTCAGGGACACTGCAGAGCCACCTCAGGGACAGCCCACAGGTTGGGCAAGGCCGGCTTCCCCTCACCGGGAGTCATTCCTGAGTATTTCCTGTCTCATTTAACCCAGCGCTCCTGGGAACAGTGGAGCCCTTCCAGACACCACCGGTCCAAAAGAACCGTGTGCAGTCAGCTCCCAGGAGCATGGCAGACACAAGCAGCGAGAGGAGCAGAACCGGCCTAAAGCTGAGATTGCAGCATTCAGATCAGATATTAAAGAAAACCTTTTCTCTCTCGGGGTGGCCGGGCATTGGAGCGGCTGCCCAGGGAGGCGGTGGAGTCACCAGCCCCGGAGGGGTTTCAGAGCGCCGGGATGCGGCGCTGGGTGATGTGGTTTAGGGGTTACGGTGGCGGTGCTGGTGGAGGGTTGGTCTGGAGGGTCAAACAGGTCTCCCAGCCCTGCTGGTTCCATGACCGTGTGATTCCAGCGCTCCGTGAGCGCACGGTTCCACTCCCACCATTCCACCGTTCCCCGCTTCTGTGACACCGCCCTCGGCCCCTGCGCGCGCCCCGCGCCTTCCCGCCCGTGCGCGTGCGCGGCCGCCTCACGAGGGGCGGCGCCATCGCCACGTCCGCGGAGGGGGCCAAGATGGCGGCGGCCGGCGGCGAGCGGCGGGGCTCGGCGGGCCGCGCCCTGTGCTTGCTGCTGCTCTGCGGCTGGGCCCTGGCGGCCCGCGGGCAGGAATCCCCCGGTGAGAGCCGCGGGGCCGGGCGGCGGGGCTGGCTGCGGGCTGTGGGCATAGCGCGGTGGCCCCGCCGGTCTCTCTCACCGGTCTCGGGTTGGGCCTGGAGCGCTGTGCGGCCTCGGCCGGCGCGGGTCCTACCGTGAGGTGACCGGGCCTGGCCCCGGGGGTGGCCCGGTCTCTGGACTGCTCGGGCTGGGCTGGGGGCAGCGGGCGCTGGGCTGTGCGCAGGGGAAGGGCAGCGCCCCGCAGGGGGCGGGAGGCCGCCTGCCAGGTGTGCAGAGCTTTTATTGCTGTGCAGAGCAGTTTGGCTGATCACTTCATTCATCAGGCGGGATTCTTCATCTAAATACTCTGGCTGCGTGCCTGGTTTTAGTCTTCCCTCCCCTAGAAATTAAGCTTTTGTTATTCTGCAAGTTGACTCCTAGTTAAGTGTTTTCTTTCTCCCCGTTAAAATTACAGGCGGCTGTAACCAAAGGCTAATAAGAAATGCGTGTGTTAGGGGCAGTGAGTTTCCCTTTGTTTTGGATGGAGTACTGGCTGGGCAGTGAAGAGAAAGGAGTTAGGGAAGGAAAAAAAGGGAACTGTTTGATCCAGCACTTCCTTCCGTGCTTGTCAGTATCTCCACACCAGCTGTATTTGTGTTGCCCCCCACCTGCTTTAATGGGTAGGCAGTAAGAATTTGGGACAGAAATCTGTAGGAAATGGAGAGTTTTTAACTTCAGGAGTCATGAAACAACTTGCTTTCTAAAAGCAGTTTTCCTGGAAGTCAGTTTTAACCATGATGGGTTTTTTATGTGCAGTGTTTATGTTGCTAATTCTGTCACCGTGATTGAACATTAGTATCTGTTCCTGAAGCTGAGGCATCTCTGGATCTAAAATCATCTGACAGTGTTGTGTAATTGTAAACAGTGCAACCACCGTTTGTAATGCCAAATAGTTTGGGGTAAATACCATAAATCAGTTGTGGTTTAGCTGCTAAACTTCCAGCTGCTATTAAAACAAAAACCCAGGCATATTTTAGGAATAATAGGAAATTGCTCTTTCTCAGTCTGAAGGTGCAGCAATAGCCACTGAGAGTCCCTTGCATTAATATATCCTTCTAAAACTTCAGTGTTAAAATTAATTCAAGAAGAATTTAAAGTGTAAGACCAGATGCAATGTAGTTTTATAGGCGAAATATGCTTGTTTGTATTTCTAACAGTATAGCTATTACCCTCTAAATAGTTTTTGTCTGTTTGGGGAGGGTAGCAGTAAGGTTGACCTCACTCACAATATGCCAGTAGCTCTAAACATGAAATAATCCTGTAACTGCCTTTCCTCATATTTATCTCTGCATATGCAACTAGCTGGCTTAAACTTGAGGAGATGTCAGAATTCCCTAAACTTGTCCTGGATAAGAACTGAACAAGTTAATGTTGATATGATAATTCAGATGAGTAGATTTTTCAGCAACAAAAAGTGTGGTAGATGTGAAATGGTTGACTTTGAATTTCAGCAGAGAGGCACCGCGGTGTCTGCTTCACGTGGGATGAGTTGAATCTTCTGTGTTTTACAGTTGGGTTAAGGAGTAATTCACACTGCAGAAGTGTGCCATGTAAACAAGAGCTCTGTTGTAACTGAACCTCAGCAAACACACAGGTTCCATGAATAACGTGATTCAGTGTCCCCTCTGTAATATTTTACTTACAAGTAACCTGACACGAGAAGTTCATTGAATGCTTCATTTCTAGTCTGCAACTTTCCTGTGAGTCTTGAAAATGTTTAATGAAAGTATTGTTGCTTTTGTAAAATGAAAAATTAGTTTGGCATGCCAAAATAACAGGCAAGTATGGTTTCCCATTTTAAATGAAAATGCAGGCTGAAAGTCTAAAATTTGTTCTACATTTTTAAGGTGCCTCTGGATTTGAATCTGGTAGTGATGTGCTGCAAACATGAATAGTTTGCTCATTTTTAGGCTTTAAACAATTAGCTATTAAATTCTGTCTGCATCTTTTTTTTTTTTTTTACTGTCCTTGAGATAAAGAAAAGGGACAGTGGGCTCTGTATCTGGATTTAATGCTCACCTTGATTTTTATGTAGTTCTGCAAAGTCCTCCCCGCATTGGAGAGATTGTGAATTTGCCTGAGGGTGCATTGTTACTGTGCCATTTCTGACTTAATTCATTACAATAATTGCTGCCAACAAAAGGCTTTCCTCCAGGAGCATGGGCAGTGTTTGTTCTTAACCCGTGGTTCAGTAGTTTCATTTGAGGTAATGGAAGGTTGGAAATCTGTTTCAGTGTCTACAAATTCAATAAAAATCAGTGCCTGGGAGGAGGTACTGCTGTCTTGTGTCCTGACTGAGAGGACTTCACAGTGTCTTCCCATTCTTTGTTGGTGAAACATGCAATGGTGGAAGATCAAAAACGTAACTGCAGGAAAAGCTTTCCTGAGAACATCCTCGTTGGTAGACCTCAGCTCATTCAGTGGGAGGAAGAATTTGATGATGGAGAAAATGCTAATCATGTATGAGTCTACAAGATGTCATGGATCCTCAGAGGGAAGGATGACATCTCTTTGAAGTTCTTATGTCTGGAAAACAGGCGTGCTGGTTTTTTCAGGGACGCTTTCCACACGAATCTGGAAGGCATGTGCTTCCAAACTTTAGTTCCTGTCCCACTCAAGACTTTTCTTTGGAAGTTGCCAAAGTGCAGGAGTATGTATTTCTTCATATGAATGCTAAAAAGCTTGCAGTGTGCCATATGCTGTGTTCTCCATGTGATTTCTTGTCTGTGAAGGAAATTTGTGGCAATAGTTTTCTGTCAGAGAAGTCAGTGCCTTGTGCATAGTGCTGATTGTTTCTCATCCTTTTCTCAGGTTCTGTGAAAGAGGATATTCTTAATACAAGAAATATTTCTTCTGCAAGTGAGAATGAAACACTGAGTAGATCCCAAAATTTGACAGACAGCTTGCAGAGTTTAAGCTCAGCAAGAAAGGAGGCCAAAATCAATTCAGTGACTGCAGGAAAGCCACCTACAGCAAACGGTGACTCTTTGTCACCTGTTGTCCCTGCTAGTCCAGTATCACAGGTGGATGTTGATGCTTCTGAAGATACTAAAATTGAGGAAGAAGATCTTCTAACAGATTTGAAAGACACACTAAATAGTTCCCCACCCATCATCAAAGAAACTATGGAGTCAGATGGAGATGACTATGCTTATGAAATGACACCAAATTCCAGATACAATCCAGACCTTCTAGAGATTTCAGAAGATGACAACTCTGACACCATCAGCAATTACAATGAGGAGATCAAGACCCTTGATGAGAAGATAAAAGCTGTTTCTGTCTCAGGGTTGGATGAAGAAGAAGACAGCCATTTCTTTTTTCATCTGGTGGTAGTTGCCTTCTTAGTAGCTGTTGTTTATGTCACCTATCACAATAAGAGGAAGGTAGGTGTGCTCTGAAAGGCTGAGAGAAACAGCTGCAGTGTTTAAAATAAAGTTGCATTCCCTTGTACATGTTTTTAGGAAGAGGAACTTGGCTTTTTTAAGAATTAAGTCTTTGACCACTAATGTGCAGATCATTAGTGTGATTTTTATCTGCACAATGAAAATGAACTTGAATCAAATATTTACAATAAGAAAATGAGTTAATTGGTAACATCAGTAATCAATCAGTACAGTAATGGACACTGGCAGTGCACAACATGAATTCTGTAAAGGAGACCTGAGCCAAGTCAAGTGGGGGTGAACAATTAACTAATTTTTTTTCTGCACAGGAAGACAAGAAATTAAAGGAGGTTTAACTGCAAATTGTGTGGGAATGTTCTTGTTATGATTGGTTATGATTGTGATAATCTTTCTAATAGTCACTTTAATATGGTCTTCATATCATAGACATTCTGAGGGTGTAACTACCAACTTTTAGAAAATGTTTAATGCTGCTTCCAGTTTTACATAGAGAAGCTACTAAGTTACTATTTTCAGGTAAATGTTTCTTCAGTACAAACTAATTCTGTGTCTCAAAAATAGTCTGATTGTTGTTATTCCAAAATATATTGCTAGCATTAAAAATTAACTTCAGCCCAACCAGACACAGCAGAAGTGCATGCACAAGTTTGCATTAAACCACAGATTCCTTTTTAGATATGAGGAAAGTTTAGTGTTTATCTTTGGGGGAGAACACTGATCTGGGTGAGGATTTGCAGGACTTGGAAAAAAAAGCAGCTAAAACCCCAAAACCTTCTTCACTGTGCAGTGGCCTATCTGTAATGTGCATTGCCAGCTCTTTATAGGGGAAGATGATGAAGGCTGTTGCATTTTGAAAATTTATCTGAGAGCAGTTCAAATAAGTGATTAAAAATGTATTGTCTTTGCTACAGTAATGCCATTGCCAGCATGGGGGGTAAAACCATGGTGTCAGTACCACTGTGAAGCTGTCAAAGCCAGGATGTTTCTGCACAGCATCTCTAAGTTGTCCTGTTTTGTTTCAGATCTTCTTACTGGTGCAGAGCCGAAGATGGAGGGATGGCCTGTGCTCCAGGACAGTGGAGTACCATCGCCTGGATCAGAACGTCAACGAAGCGATGCCTTCCCTGAAAATAACCAATGACTATGTGTTCTGAAAGCACTGTGACTCGAGTTTGCTGAACTGATCACTCTCTGCCTGCCCAGTCATGTAATGATATTCAGGTATTCTAAATAAGCTGCTTGTACAGAAATGAGATGTACTCTCTTTGACCTGGATGTTTTGGAGATTAAATCTCATGGAAGATCAAGGGCATGATCCATCTGTTTGCTACTTTGGTCGGGTTTTATAGCAACTGTGAAGATTGAGAATTTAATAAATTAGTGCTCTTTCCATTCATTAAGCATCATTTTCTTCTGTCTGGAGCAGTCTTAATAGTCATACTGCAAAAAATAAGGATAAAATACTTTAGGTCTAATAAATTAATGACTTTGGCATCACTAAATCAAATTAATGATCTCTTTGCTAATCACTTACATGGCTCATAAATTCCACTATATTGCAAACTTAAAATATATTTTTTTCTGTGCTTAAATTCTGATGCTGCAAGTCTTTCATCTCATTTTTTCTGATTCTGTTTTCTTGTTGCATAATTTGATCCTATTTTGGCAAAATAGCTAGAATGGCAATTTAATAATTTATATATGTGTTCATGCCATAAATAATTTTATAACAATTATGTATAACCCATTTTATTTCACAAGTTCTGTACCATATATTTCCTAAAATGTTTAAGGTGTTTGTGAAGGTATGCAGCTTTTCTTGACTCTCCTTTTTTTTCTCTGATGCTATTTATGACTTCATTGTCTTTGTAATTAATGAGTGGAAAACAAGCCTTGTTGAATAATTTTACTAAAATGTAGATAGCTGACAGGCTTTCAATACATCAAAGCTTTCTGTTGAATTTTTAGACAGTTGGGAAATGGCTATGTGATTTGTTATATTATAAATGGGAGAAACTGTAAGAGTAATTTATTTGGTTCTTTTTCTGACCCAGGTAACAGACAGGTGAAAGTAAGTGCCAGTCTGTGGACAGTGCACTCTCATTTTTGACAAACATTTATGCATTAGTGTAAATCAAGTTACTGCTACAGTAGTTTTTTTGTTTTTTTTTTTTTTTAATTTTGTCTTTTGTACTTCCATTATTTATGTTTTCATGAGTTGTAAAATATAAAATTTTAGTTTTCTGTACATTCTGTTTGTGATTTAGTTTTCAGACTGATATGTTTGTAAATAATGGTGAATCAGAACCCCATAATTAATAACTTGGTATTCAAGTAGTTATGTAACATTTGGAAACAAATAAATGTCACGCCTGTTGGCATGAGGAGTCTGAAGGCATGGTACTCTTTAGGAATGAAATGCTAGAAGTTCTATATCCTACAGTTAAATGCATTCTTTTCATAAACACAGAAAGTAAAGCACAAACAAAATATCCCAAAACTCTTTTCTTGCAGTAATTTTTATTGTATTTGGACTTGTATCACTTAATATTTTGAATAAGGTTTTTCAAATAAATGACAATAATAAGCCTGTGTTTCTTACTGTAACTGTTTCACTGCTTTTATACAGTAACTTACCATAAAGAACTTGCTTATGCTTGGAATTGGAAACCATTTCAAAACCATCTTCTCTGTTGCCCATACTGGGTGTATGAAGGTTTGTTATGTGCATCTGTTGAATGCTGTGTAGGGTAGATAGCAGGGCTTATATTAAATATTTTAAGCTGTGGGAATTAATACATTCTTTAACAAGATTTGTTTAGCTTAAGTTATTTAGTCTGTAATTCTTGTGGAAGATATTTGAAATTCTTACCTGAACATACCCACTTTGAAGTGTAACACTGCTGTGGGCAAGATCTAAAGGGAAAGGTTACTTCTCAAAGCTTCTTTAGGATGTGTAAATCTGGGAATTTGAGAGGTAGCTAATGCTTTTGCACCCAAGAAATTCCTTAAAAAAAGTTACTGATTATAAAGTGTAGTGATTTTGACAGTAGAAAATAGTATGTTCATTCTTAGCAGAAGCTTCTGTTCCTTTCAGCTTGGTCCCACAGGCCTTACACAGGACCCACAGTGATCAACCTGCCTGTGCAGAAGTGCAGTGATACCCACGTGAGAAGTTTCATTTTCTCTTCAACCCACCCAATGAATTAGGCCAAAGAGACAAATGTTACATTTTCAGCCACTTCCCTCACTATAATAGCTCCAATACTGTTAAAAAAATAAGAAAATTAACATCAGTCTAAATGAGTAGAATTAAGGCACATTGTGTTACTTTCTGGAGTTATGAACTTTATCCATGGAGATATGAACTTTATCCATGTTGGCTGTCTTCCAAAGCTCTTGAAGCACAGTTCAACTGGTAGAGTAAAACCAATGTAAGTGTGTTCTTTCAGCTTTCTGAACAACTAACAGTGTCTTCTTTAGGACTATGTTTGAGGAATAATCTTGCATTTCCTTACCCTGCTTCCTTCAAATTGTCCTTGTGGATAGGCTGTCTCTCAGAAGAGATATTTATTAATAATTACAGCTTTTAAGCTGCTCCTTACAGCAAACCCACTGACTTCTGGAGGAGGAATGCACACAGCTGATGGCATGATTGACAGCTTTCCCTAAAAACCTCACAGAAGGCAAAGGCCTGGTTTAGGTCAGTTAGCAAACCAGGTTGTTTTGCAATCAGTACATTTTAAAATGCTCGTAGGTTTAGCTGTGCCATGACAATACCTGTCCCACAGATGTGGGATGTTCATTAGGTAATTGGGCCTAATGACTCCTGGGCTGGACTGCAAGTGTTAAATCAATCCTTGGCTGAATTGCCCATGTAGTTCCTCTCTGAAAATGCTCTTCATGAGGTTACCTTAGAGGAGAAAATCACATTATCATGAGCCTTCTGCTCATGAAATCATACCAGGACTGAAACCTTTGGAGTTGGGTAAGTGATGTTTGAGGCCATGGAATGATGGTTTGCACGTGTGTCTTCTCTAGCAGAGCAGAGATTTGCCTCGCTTAAGTACTACAAGCACTTAAGATGAGCAGTTGTTCTTTGCTTGCTCTACTGGGGTGCACATCCTCTGTCACAGAAGTAAGAAAAAATTTTAGAAATATTTCTAAAATTTATGTTTTTCACTAATGATAATAAGGGCAGCTTATAAGAGTGACTTTAAATTCAAAGGGAATTTATATGAATTTGAAATCCTTGAAGTTCTTAAAACAATGGGTTTAGTTTGGGTAGTTACCTAAACAGATGTTCTTTTTGGATGCTAATTAATTTTAAGGACTTGTGGTGAGTCTGTCAGGTTGCCAGTTACTGCAGAAAGTTGCCATAAGAGATGGTTTGGTCACAGCAAAGTTTGTGGATGCATCACAGCAAATGATACTGCCACGATAAATGTCAAATTTGTTGTTGAAACCTGTGCACTGCGGATGGCCAGCGTTCAGTAACGGGCTGCAGTGCTAGTGAGCAGCGGTGGTTGGTATCTCAAAAGGGGCACTGGTGGTTTGTATCCCAAAAGGGGCACTGGTGGTTTGTATCCCAAAGGGGCACTGGTGGTTTGTATCCCAAAAGGGGCACTGGTGGTTTGTATCCCAAAAGGGGCACTGGTGGTTGGTATCCCAAAGGGGCACTGGTGGTTGGTATCCCAAAAGGGGCACTGGTGGTTTGTATCCCAAAAGGGGCACTGGTGGTTGGTATCCCAAAAGGGGCACGGTGCCATCCAGGCCCTGCAGTGTAAGAGCGCAGCTCCTTTGTATCGAGGTGATCCCGGAGCCAAGCCGGCAGTGGCGGTGTCCCAGCTCCACCCTGCCCCGCGGCAGTGCCCAGTTGTTTCTCGGGCTCACTTGTGTGTCATTCTCCCGGGGAGAAGGGACCTCGCCCTTGTGAAAGGTTTGACACGCACACAATGAGTGACTTTTTTACTCCAAGGGTGTTTTTTCATTCTCAATAGCCCTTGGACTATTGCCTGAGCAAGGGAAGTGCTGCTGAATTGGCTTGGGCGGTCAATAGCTGTTGCCTAATAGCACCAATAAAGAGGGAAAGGCTTTTCCTGATCCGGTTTTACAAGGGCTCCAGCAGCACCAGGAGAGCGTGGCATATGTCATCCACTGTGCAATAAAAGAGCCATTTGCTGATGGGGCAATCAGGGTTGAACTACTGGGTTTTAATTTCTTTAATTGAATTTGCTTGTGGAAAATTAAGAGCAGGCAATCAAAAATTCATAAAGTGCTGAGATCAAACAGAGGAAAAAGCAAGCGGATTTATGTCACATCTCTCTAACTAGAAATGTCTTGATGAATTTCTTTAGTGAAGAAAGGAAACTTTCTCACATTAAGGTGAATTATGACTTCCATCAATATTCTGATAAAAGGAATAAAATATTCCTGAAGAGCTTTCAGATTAAACTTCCTAAGATGAAAGTTCAAGCTCTATTTATGTAGGTTCTTGTTAGTGGCTGGGAGTTATGAAATGAGGAAAGAAATAATGAATAGGATAGTTTAAACAAATGATACATTTCACTTTTACTATCCAGGAAATCAGGTATTTTAAAATATTAATGGTTTAATTTTCATTTAGCACCAGTGCATATTATTCAGCTCTAAGTCAACTGTCCTTGGCTGCTGCTCAGTTGTGTACAAGGTGAAGAGAGAAGGGTTTATCTGAGCAGGGTGCTTTGCGTTACGGGAAATTAATTTGTAAGGTAGAGGTGAAAAATGTCCTATCTCTTAAATGAATTTCGAGGCTATAAAAATAATAGAAAGGGAAAAGAGAGAGTTCTGTGTCTCTAACACAGACTCCTGTTACTAAAAACATTGGCCAGGGGTTTTCCAAATTATGGTCAGTTTAGGAAACCCGTGATGAGCCACAGTGGGAGAGATTTTATTTGCTTTTATTGTTGGTAGAAACCTGGCTGGCAGCAGCTACTTGCTCAGGCTTCAATTTTCTGCCTAAAACTGGAGGCAGTGAAGCCTCCTGGGGTTGGGGGGATAGGAGGGACTTGTTATCTGGCAGCTGTTCTTGCTCTGGGAGGGAAGGAGCAGGGTCTGCCAGCAGAGCTTCTCCCCTGAGCTGCTGTCAGGGGCTAAAAGCTGCAGGTGTGTGCTGGGAGGTGCTGGGGGCAGCACCAGCCAGGCCCTGGGTACTGGGAGCCTGACAGCCCCAGGGGAGGCTCTTGCTGTCCCTGCCTCACCATGCTGCCTGCTCTGGAAGGTAAGTGCGTTCCTAACCCAGTGAAAAATTCCACTTTCTTTTTGAATCTTATTCCTGGGCTGATTTTCAGTCATTTTGGGGTGCTGAGCTGGTTCACTGTGCAGCCAGACCAGTGCCAGAGGCGGCTCACGGTTTGTGATGGGCGTGTTGAGAGCTGAGGTGGGGCTGATCCCTGCTCAGTAGCAGCAAACTGTTTATTGTTGTTCCTTGTTACAGTTACATCACCATTACCATCCTCGAGGTTTCTCCTAACCTTGGGTTGCCCCATGGCAGGGAGGTTGGAGCTAGGTGATCTTTAAGGTCCCTGTCAATCCAAACCATACTGGGATTCTGTGGCTCTAGAGCTGTTTCTAAGTTGTCTCAGAAAGCCAAGCCCAAAAAGAACCTTTGCACTGTAGAGGCCAGATGAGCCATGGTTGCTACAGGCTCAGCATAATTTTTGTTGCTGAGAGGCCAAGCCAGACAGAGGATTTGGGGTCTCCTGGTTTGTGTTGTTTCTTGGGAAGTTTTCTTGTGGGGACATCCCTGAGCAGGTTCTCTGGGGAAGCAGAGGGCTGGTGCTGCCCTGTGGCAGGGCTGGTGAGTGCATGGTCCTGTGCTGTGCAGCTTCCCTGGCCTGTCCCAAATCCAAACTGAAGCTGCATTTTGTGTTCCTACAAGGCTGACTAGCTTTATGGGAGTGCTAAATCCTCATGTTAAGGCTGATAGAGCAGTAATCTTCAAGGCCATATATCCCAGCCTCCACAAAGCAGCAGAACTAACAACATCATTTTTGCACCTTTTATCTATTTTTTTTTTAACCATCAAGTGTCCTTTAAAGAGAAGTCCCTGTACTGGTTTTTGTTAAACATTTCTGATACTGACCATATGAATGTCCTTGCTGTAATAAAAAAATGGTTAATACACAAGAGCTTCTCAGCTCCACTGTTTCCAATATATCTACCTAGAAAAAGAAGAATGACATCTCTTCTGTAATTGATCCTTAAATCATTATCAAAATAATTTAGCAACCTTCTGAAATTTATTTTTAATTACAAGGTCTGTTGCCCTGTTATTAACACTGAAAATCACTAATCTATGAAATTTCCTATCTTGATTAAAAATAAAGTATGTAGATTGTGTTATCCTTATTGAGGTGCACTCATTGAGGTTTTATGAAAGATTAAGTGAAACCAGATTTAATCTTTTTGTACTATTCTGTAAACAATGTTGAAATGTTGGTATTTAAGAAAGTTGATGGGGTTAAAAACTGGAGTTGAGTTTGACAGGTGTACCCAGGCCACTGAAATATTTAAAATTGAGATTACATGAATTGGGGGATCCTTGTGTTATTTG